GAGGTGCCACTCTGTCACCCAGGCTGAATGGAGTGCAGTGGCACAATCTAGCTCCCTGCAGCTTGGAACTCCTAGGCTCAAGTGATCCTCCTGCCTCAGCCTCCTGACTGCCTGGGACTACAGGTGCACACCATCATGTACAGCTAACTTTTTTCTTTTCTTAGAGATGAGTTCTTGTTAAGTTACCCAGGCTGTTCTTGAGCTCCTGCTCTCAAGTGACTTCCCACCTCAGCCGCCCACGTGGTTGAGGCTGAGGCTCAAACTTGAGCCTTTGAGCCTGGCTACACAATTTTTTAATCATCTGATCTAGGGCAAATTATTTATGTTTTGTGAACCTTATTTCTCTCACTTGGATGGAGAGAAAATGTAATCTACTTCATAGATTTCAACATGACAATATCTAAAACGCTTAGACAGGGAGGAGTTCCAGTGGCCTAACTCTGAACCCCAAGTGTCCATGCCAGAAATTTGCCAGAACTGTTTTCTCCATGCTGTCTTTAAGCCCAGAACCTACGTTCTTCTTAACCTTCCTCATGCTGACAAATCAGTCACTCTGAAAGTGGATGACTTTGTAGAATAGACTAAACTCTTGACTAAAATAGTAGTTCATACATATTTAAATCATGAGAGAGAGAGAAAGAGAGCTAAGAAACAATGAGATCAGCTTTCCTGAATGATTTGTAACTGCCCCTAAATGATCTGTAAGGAATTTAAGAAATTATTTAGTCACTTGGTAGAACTGCTGGAATAGGCAAATAATCTCCCCAAAGGAATTCTTTGAAAACTACCATTCACTTAGAAATTCTAGGACATATTTATAGCTTAAAACAAAATTTTCTTTGTAAAACAGTCAAACTATGTTTTATATTTTAAAACAAATAGGTGGCTTAAGGTTAAGAAGTATTTTCAAACCTTTTTCATCATAGTCTTGGTATGTTACACCATCTGCAAAAAAAAAAAAAAGAGAGAGAGAGAGGAAAAAAACAAGTATTAAATGAGTCATTCTGTGTAACTGCTTAGCTGAAAAACAATGACAATGATGTACTCTCAAACACAGAATTCCATTCCTTTAAACGTTAATGTCTGCATGGTCAGTAATGAACGCCTCCCCTCAAAAGCAACTTGCGAAAAGGGCAGGTGAATTATTCTTAAAAAAAAAAAAATTCCCCAAATTGGCCCAGATTAAGACACACAAAAGTAGCATTAGGATTTAACTTCCTGTTTTGTTGTGGAGGTGTTAGTAGACAAGATGAAATATGAAGGCCTGATATTCTTGTAATCGTCTAATTTGGGTACAAGACAAAGTGTCATGCATTAGGTTTTAAAATTACTTCTTGGACTCCTTTGAAAGAAAAATCACCATGTAAACACAGCACAGCAATGTAACATTTTAAGTGACATTTAAAATCTAATGAAAATATTCATTTAATACCTTCATCGTGGGGCAATCTTTCATCATCTACCACTGGTTCACTGGAATCTAAAATGACAAAAACACACCTTTGCCAAAAATGAAAAAAACCAAACGCATTACCAGATGCCACTATAAAAGATTCCCAAGTTAATTCTCATCATTGCAACCTTGCATGGCATGTATTGTCATTATCATTTAATGAAATTTAAGCTGAGTAATGTTCCCTAATTTGCTAAGTCACAAACATAGGAAAAGATAGAAAGAGCAAAATGAAGATTTTCACTCAGCCTGACTCTGCTGTATCAGCCTACCTCTTCACTTTCCACATAGCCTTGGCAATACCCTACCTACAAAAACGAAAGCCCCAACAGTGATTTCCCCTCATTTTCCCACATAATATAAACTATATTCAGAAATTCTATAAATATCTCGGCAATCAAAAATGATTTTAAGCATAAAGCAATCTGTGTTTTATCAGAGTGAATTGTTAACCCTGTGTTTAAATGACCTTGACCACTGCCTCAGAAACACGTATCAATATTTTTATAGTCACAAACCTAGAGCTTCCTTTTCATATGTCTTCTCTTCCACCTCCTGGTGGTAGTCCTGTGAATCTGTAAGTTAGGAAACAATTAGGAAATTACCAACGTGTCCCAAATAAAGATTACATGTGATAATCAAAACCAGCACAACGCAATTTCCAGTAATGACAGAAATGTGAAATCAAATCCTAAGGATGTTCAAACATGTTCATTCATGGAACAAATAAATAAGTATTAACTATGCTGAATGCTGGATACAAAGATGAATAAGGCGGACCTCATCATTAATGGGTTCATTGCCTAACCACAAGAGAATAAAGGTATATTCTCATTTAGTTTATATAGATTCAACTACAGTCATCAAATAAAAACAAGAGAAGCAGAGAGACAGAAGAGAGTAGAACAGGCGAGTCTCCCTGCCCACCCCACAAACACCACTGCAGAGTGAGCCCCACCTGGACTCGACAGGGCGTACTCCCCGTGTTTCTCTGTTTCTACACAGACACATTACTAAAACCACATAGGTTCTAAATACCAGACAACAGTCCCCTGTGGTTCTCAAGCATGATAAGAATGACCTGTTCCAACACTGGAAGAAAAACTAGCCAACAGCACCAGCTTACCGAGAGATGATGTGTGGCCATAGCTTCCAGCTGCATCACACTTGGCACAACCCAATTTTGATACTGCATTGACTTTGAAACTGAGGGCTACCAAACCTTGTACCTTAAGGTTACTCCTAATTCTTCTACTGGGAATTTATCCTCAAGTGACAGGGTTCAAAACACAAAAACTATATTCGCAAGACATATGCCATGTGATGTTTAACAAAATTATTATTTACATATCATGGGATATGTTGACAGATTTAAAATATATTGTTAATAATAAATAATATTAGATAATATTCCATATATAACCTCATGATGATGTCTAAAAGGAAAAAGACTCATTGTGGTTGAGAAGGAGCAGTGTCGAATTCGACCTCACCTGTCTCTTCCACGCGAACACCGTCCTCAGTTTCTGAAAAGGCAACAAGAGACTGACATCACTTTACAAATAGCGTACAGATTTTGTACACGTATATTCTGAATCTGTGCTTATGATTAACTTTATTTTAAAATGAATAACTGCTAAAATGAAACACAGAAATACTAAATGTCTACTTAACATTTCCTCTTTCACTAGAACTACACTCTGAAATGTCTCACACAATCTCATATCCGCTCCCCTGAAAATCCCACAGGACCGGGGCTGAAGAGAGAGGATGATTTATACAGAGGAACTCAGTGACAAAGGCTGGGCCAGGAAAAGTGCTGGTCTCCAGCCGCATTTCACTATAGTGTTTTATTTTCTAGACCTGTATTCCTGTTTTCTAGAGAGCTCATATCCATGCTTTTCAAAAAAGCACAGATAGAAGCTTTGAGAAATATACCGTCTAATAAATTAGGAGCTGCCTGCTTCTAAAGTGAATTTTCTCTATATTAAATGCTGTGAGAAACAGACAAAATTTACTTTTTCATTACTTTTATGCTTTCAAAAAGCCATATTGACCCATTTAGGCATAGGTCCTGGTGGTTTCTGCGCTGGTAGCAGAGTGGAGTAGTTGTAACAGAGGCTGTCTGGCCCAGAAAGCCTAACATAGTTACTATCTGACCATTTACAGAAATAGTTTGCTGGTGCTTGGTATAGAAACTAAGCATAGTGTTCTACCCACAGTAGTTACAGAGTTCAGATCAAAACAAGAATCTGTGTTAGATTATCAAATATGTCATCAGTTGTTTGGATTTCACATAACAAATACCAGCCCAGAAAGGGAACATAGTACAGTTTATTAAAGTCTTTCACTGACTTTTCCTAAGAAATTTATATATTTTGAATTTCCCTTACTACTTAAAAGTGCTTTGAATCAAAATCAGGATATCTATTTACTTTGGGGGCGGGGGAAACTAATTGAAGCTTGACTTTTTAAAGCTTTGACTTTTTAAAAAATTACATAAATAGTTTTAAAGAGGTTTAATATGAATTTATATAATTATAAATCATCTATTTTTTTTTCATTCTGAAACAAACAAATGAAAAAAAATGTGTCCACCTTCATGAAATGTTTCAGGTTCCAGGGTCTCAAACTTATCCTTTTCATCAGTGGCCGTAAGGAAGCTGTCATCCTCCAGCTGTGGTTCTCCCACTGGTTCACGCTCCTCTCGCTGCAGGTCTTCTCCTTCAACTGTGACAACAAAGTGACACCAGTCTGCAGTGAGGCCCATCGGCCACAGCCAACTTAAGACACAGAATCTCCTTAGAATGGCTGCTGGGCCTCTCCACCCACCCTCTGGGCCACTACAGATGCTGCTGTCCACTCAAGCCTTTTTCGCACTGCGGCTAAGTGCCAATCTGCTTAAGGGGGCAGGGGTCTCCTCTCAGTAGAACGTGAACTCACCAAGGGCAGGGGCTCATATATTTATTTGGTTCTCTATGTACACCCAATACCTAGGGCCATGCCTAGCCATAGGAAGTACTCAATAAGTATCTGATAAATGAATGAAAATTCATTATTATTATCTGATAATAATTATCTGAAATAATTATTATAATTATCTGATAATAAATGAAAAATTCATAATTATCAATACTTTTGGGTCATCAATAATCACTGGGTCAGAGAAAAGGTCATACTATGACCATTTACTAAGAATTCATGTAACATTCCATGTAACAACTTTGAAGGACTTATTCAAATGTTCTTTAGCACAGAGCAGCTAGCCGCCTGCACATCACAGACTAGGTCACAGATACATTTGTATGACACTGTGCATACAAAGAAATGCAATTTTCAGCCTTTCAATTATGCCAAGATGCCTCCCTTCCTCCTGGGATTGACTTCTGTAACACACTAAGCTGTTCTGGTTCTTTCATGTACATGTCGAACATGCCACATGATTCCACTATGATATGGCTTAGATTGTTATTGTGCCTAAAAATTACCCAGATAATTGAGTGTAGCTCCTATATACAATAATGTGACTAAAGAGCTTGAATAAACTGGAAGTGCTCCTAACAGCACAGCCATTAGGAGTGCGGGGCATGGAACACTCAGTTCTGGATTTGAGCTCTTACGCTCGTACACGCCAGCTGTGTGACTATGGGAAAATTACTTCACTACTCTCTGCTTAAGACTTCTCTTTCATAAAATAGGAAAAACAAGTATCTACTCACAACACTGTTGTGAAGATTACAAATAAGTGGCCCATAATAAGAACTTGGGTGTTATTATCATTACATAGCAGTGGTATGTAGCAGTGGTAACAACAATACTATTTCCACTGCTACTGAATTCTCAACTCCACCCACAAACAGCAGGAAGACTCTGGCAGTTCTGTACCTTTAGTGTGGCAGGGCTATACGCTCAGGTGTTTCTGAGACAGACAGACCCATTAATGTCAGTAGTAATAATTTGTTTCTGTCTTCTCATGACAGCTTGCTATGTTGTTTTTCCTTATTTCAGATTTTCTGCTACTCAGCAAACTAATCACCAATTCTAATTCCTGTTGCAAATGTTATTACTCTTTTCCTTCTTATCATGTCCTTCTTTCCTTATTCTATTTTTATTCTATCCATTGCAATTTGCAAATTTTTACCTAAGCAGGATTTAGCTCTCTGATCAATGGAAATGTTCCTATTTTCAGTAGAGAAACCAGCCAAACCTTCCACGCCACTTTGGATAGCCTGGTATGAATAAGTATGGACAGCCTGGGATAAAGAGAACTTTCCGAGGGTTAACTAGGCATTGCCAAGTGCTCTGCAGCTGTCAGTCACACCATCCCTATGGAGTGGGTACCAGTGTCCCACTTTGATACATAAGGAACTGGTATATTTTGCTAGAGCCATACAACTAACCAATGGTGGATGCAGGACTGAATCCCTTCACAGGATGTATCGTGGTGGGGCAGGGAGCCACGTTCTGAAGAGATGTGAAGATCAGGTGGGGGAGGAAAACACGGCTCAGCAAAAGATACCCACCAGGGGCAGAGGCTGCCAGGCAGGGGTAGGCTGCGCCACTTCAAAGAAAAGGGAGAGGGCCAGAGGGCTAGAGAAAGTATGAGACAGGATAAACAGGCTACGACCAGATGGGCACAGCTGGCTGGGCCACACCAAACACAGGTCACAGAGGAGCCAGGATGCGAATAGGGAGAGCCAGGCAGGTGCTCTTAGCACCAGGCCCAGAGGGCAGGGTATGAGCTGATGGCAATGCCCACAGGACTTCCTGATGGATTAGATATGGGAGGGGAGAAGTGCGAGAAACCAAGGGAAACTCCTGAGTTTTTAGCTTACGCAACTCAGTAGGAAGGGAAGCCATTAACTAAAATATAGCAGACGAGACTCAGAACCATTTAGGGGTTTGCGGTGAGGAAGAGCTGTGAGATGGGAAAGAATCACGAGTTCTGTGCTAAGCATACTTTAAGTGTGAGACACTGGTAAGTCATCCAAATGGAAATGTCTCACAGCTGGATAATCCTGGACTTCAGAGGAGTGATCAGGGCTGCAGCCATATATCCAGAAGTCACCAGCATGTAAATAATATTTAAAACTATAGACCATATATGTGATTTCCTAAGGAAAAAGTCTCAGTAAAGAAAAGAGCAGGTGCCAGAAGAGGGCTGTGGCGAGGAACATGGTAACCGACTCCATTCTTCCCTCCTCCGCTTATCTGTCCACTGCACTGCACTGCCCACCTACGTGTCTCCAGGTCTTCCTACTCCCCTCCCGCCCACCGTGGGCCAAAATGAGTTTGGTCACCCATCTC